ATATGTTTTGATAGGTATCTTCTTTTCTTTGTACTGTACATATTTTCTCTCTGCATTAATTGTATATATATTATATATTCATCCAATCCAATGACGTGTTATATATCCCTATCATGTTCGATGACACGTATCCATCATTCGGATTCTTTATGAGGCGGTGGCAGTTATTAATTAATTAATATTATACACAAAAAAAAATTAAAAAAAATACAAGATCGATGTAAAGTACTAAATTGTTGAAAATTTTGATCAGTTGGGAATGGGGAGCGCGGTGGAGACCCTGTGCGGGCAGGCGTACGGGGCCGGACAGGTGGAGATGCTGGGCGTGTACCTTCAACGCTCGTGGGTCATCCTCCTTGCCACGTCATGCCTCTTAATGTTTCTCTACATATTTGCATTCCCATTCCTGGTGGCAATCGGGCAGACTCGGGCCATCTCGCGTGCAGCGGGGAAAATGGCCCTGTGGATGATCCCACAGCTGTTTGCGTACGCCCTCAATTTCCCAACCGCCAAGTTCTTGCAAGCACAGAGCAAGATGGTGGCCATGGCCTGGATCTCGGCCGTGGCCCTGGCCCTCCACGTGGCGTTGAGCTGGCTGGTGATGTTTAGGCTGGGGTGGGGGATGCCAGGTGGCGCTGCTGTGCTGGACGCTTCGTGGTGGTTCATTGTGGGGGCCCAGCTAATTTACATATTCAGCGGGCCCTGCGGGAAGGCGTGGCCGGGCTTCACTGTTCGGGCTTTTCACAACCTCCGTGCTTTAGTCACCCTCTCCCTTGCGTCCGCCGTCATGATGTGGTTAGAAGTATGGTATTTTATGGCATTGATACTGTTTGCGGGATATTTGAAGAATGCACAAGTTGCCGTTGCTGCTTTATCCGTTTGGTGAGTATTCGTTACTACTCTTAATTTCCAAATCCTAAAATCTTGACATTATTCTTACGTGTTCATTATTATGACTATCATTATATACAAATATTTGTTTAGTTTTTCTCAACCCCCAATTTTTATGGCAAAAATATGATAATTATTTGATTAAAGTTTTGAGCAATCAATATATTGTGAGTCTGTGAGTAGTCCAGTCTTGAGATGCCATCAAAGACCATTAATATTAATATTATTAAATAGGCAAATATTCAATTTTAATCCGCTAATTTGTCTATCGTCCACTTTTGGTATACTATCTTTTCCTTCATAAAAAATGGTCCATTATATTATATTTTTCACCAGTTTTAGTATAGTACACTAATCCCGTGGTCCGGGATTACGAGATGCCAAATCAGGTTTTTATCCTACCACGTCAATATCTTATCCCTCCACGTAGTTTCAATCCTGGTCCGCGTCATCTTGTAATCCCGCCAATTGGAGTAGCGTACTAAAATTGATGAAAAATTTAAAGACCATTTTTGATGAGAGGAAAGATAGTGTACCAAAAGTGGACAATAGACAATTTAGTGGACCAAAATTAGATTTTTGCCTTATTAAATATGATGTTCACTTGATGTACGTTTGCCAACTTTGTGCAGCACAAACATTCTTGGCTGGACAAACACGATATCTATTGGATTCAATGCAGCCATAAGGTACATTATTAATTTCCACAAATCTTGCTGCCATAAGAATTAATTTCTCCCCTTGTTTAAGTTATTTGCTTTTCTATCTTCCGGACTTATAGCGTAAGAGTATCAAATGAATTGGGAGCATCTCACCCAAGAACGGCAAAGTTCTCAGTGGTGGTTATGGTGATATCAGCCTTCTTGATCGGCCTCTTAGTTTCCATCTTGCTTCTTATCTTCCAAGACGAGTATCCTTCCTTGTTTTCCGACAGTTTGGAAGTCAAAGGCGTTGTAAATGACCTCACGCCATTGCTCGCTTTCTGCATCGTGGTCAACAGCATCCAGCCTGCCCTGTCTGGTAAAATTTATTTAGTTTTATCCACATTGAAATTTTGTCACGATGATAAAACAATATTTCAATAACTCTTTTAAATGCAGGCGTGGCTATCGGGGCTGGGTGGCAAGGTTTGATTGCGTACGTAAATATTGTGTGCTATTACGTTTTTGGTATTCCTTTGGGTCTGATTTTGGGGTATCCGCTGGACATGGGTGTTAGAGTGAGTTTCTGCATTTTCTATTTTAAATAAATAAAGTTGCTATTTATGTACATATCATGCGGACAATGAGATTGTGTTTTACTATTTTTTCAGGGTATATGGTACGGGATGGTATCAGGAACAGTTGCACAGACTCTCATACTCTTTTGGATTGTGTATACAACTGATTGGGAGAAAGAGGTTCATATATCAAATTTTAATATTCATGTGTTTGATTTGATCTTTAGAGAATATATTTATAACTAACGGTGGGTGGGGGATGTATAATGGCAGGCTTGTATTGCTGCCCAAAGGATCAAGCAGTGGAAAGGGGAAGTGAATATCAAAGCAAATGATGATGAGGAGAAACGAGCTCAATAGATATGGATCACATATCTTCTTCATTCCTGCATGGGTAAACAAGATGAGGATACATATGTTTGAGCATATTTCTGGATAGAATTAATATAGGATGACCACAGTGGAGATCAATGCGATAATATGTATGTGGGTTATGCCTCAACTCTCCTTTGGGGGGAAAAATTTCACCATTAGTCCACTAACTATTGGTGAGTTGTACTTTCGTTCTTTAATAAAAAAAAAATTTAGATTTGGTACACTATCTTTATTTTTTTTAGCACTATACATCCAAAACGACGTTCCACACTAGCAGAAAAAACAGTTTTTATAACGGGTAAAAAAGATTTTTTATAACAGTTTTGAACTCGTTATAGTTTCAGACGTTATAGAATATGAACTTTCTATAACGGTTTGTGACCCGTTATAAATTTACTGCTATTTATAACGGCCAACATAGACCCGCTATAAAATAGTTAATTTACCTGTTATAGACTACACTATTTTATAACAGTTATAAACTTAACCGTTATAAAATCTACTATATTTATAACAGACTTTCATTTAGCCGTTATAAACTTCTTTTGTTTACACTACATTTTATAACGGGTTACTAAATACCCGTTACAAAAACAATGTATTTGATAACTGTTAAATCATTACATAAATACCCGTTATAAATAATGACCCATTAAAATGCACAATTTTTTAAATCGTAGGTAACACCTGTTATAAAATAGGGTGCAACATTCTATGTTTTTAAAAACAAAACTACCATATCAACAAACAAATAGCAAAAGAAAATATCTACCATTACTTCAATGCCAATACACCAACAGTATAGATCAACTTCACAAACACAACAATACCAAGTGACGAATAGTTTCACACCACATGTTCAACAAACTACGAAGCCTGTCTAACAAAAGTCTAATCTTATCCTACTTCACTAATGAAGTTATATCGAGAAAATACTGAATCCAACGTCTCCTTACATCATCAATATCATCACTCGAGAAGGGTTCTTCCAAATTAAACACCTGAAATTTGAAAAAATAATTATAACATATGATCAAGACGAAAAGATAGAACAAATTATTTACTTGAAAGTATACTAGTGCTTGATATTTACAAATTATTTTTGTTCACCATTACCTTATCAAAGTTGTCAGTAACGTCAAGTGTGATGATTTCCAACATATATCTAATAACGAAATACCCGCATTCAACACCTCCTGGTTGTTGGCGACACTTGAAAAATATGAAAAGAATCGTATAAAATTAATAACTTACGAAACATAAAATTATATGTAATGATTAAATATATTTCGAGTACCAAAAATAAAACTGCAAGTTACAAAACATTGTTTAAAAAATAAATTTACCTTTGGATAGACCAATTCGGGTTTCTGTTTGTATGGATGATTTCCCTTCATTATCTGATATGCGAAAAATGCCCTAACATAATAAATATAAAATAGAGAGTTTAATTTCAAAATAAATTCTAAAAATTAGATCAAAATCATGTAACATAAAACATACGTAGTGATTTTCTGGACTATATCATTCTTAAGCTTTTTTGACAAGGAACAGAAGCAAACCACCCTATTCTGTTTAGGGCATAGAACAATCAACTGCCAATGATCCCTAACATTTCAAAAAGAAGAAAACATAGTTGTGTTGTTAGTTTATACTTATCTGTATGGGACAATAAGAAATGGCATGAAAGTGAAATTACTTACTGGCTCAGATATGGTGCAAGAAAGCATTCAAAATGTCCCTTTTCCAGTCTTCCTTGAATGTAATTCGTTGCATGATCTTTACTGTTACCTTTGTTTTGGAGTGAGAGCGGGCACATCAATCCATATTAACTTTCTCTGCCAAATTCTTTCAAATTTTTGTGCAAATACCTGTAAACAACAACAACAACAACAACAACAACACTAACAACAACAATGACAACAACAACAACAACGACAACAACAACAACAACAATAAGTATATCTAGTTTCATAATATAAAAGAAAAACAATAAGAAAAAAATGGTTAAAAATTACTCACAAATTAAAGAACTGCAGTATAGATACACAAAGTCTTTGATTTGTTAAGAGCTCCATGATATCATTCTGGCAGACATACAAATCCATTTTCTCACCGACAATCCCTGACTCAACAACTACATGGACTGGTTGTGTAATGTCAATCGTTGCATTCCACATAACTCTGATCACATCCGTCTTAGGTTTTGGATCCATTTGCTTTTGTTGGAAAGAATCCTATATAAATTAAAACAAACCATTAAAAAAGAGCAATTATCATTGAATGCATGTAGAAGAATACATTCAGGAAATATATCGATAAAAAATTTATTTACCTTTAGATTTTTCGCAACTAGATTTCTAGGCCAAACAATGAATTGACTTAGAGCATCTCTCACGAAAGTGACCTCATCTGTCGGGTATGGCATAAATGCATCTCCAACTATAATCCGTGAGACCACAACCCGTACGTCTTCATCCTTCATCATTTGGTGGTGCACTGTTGGCCCCAAATTGTGGACATTGCCATATGCCACTAATCGCCTTTGGGGGTCCTCCACATACAATTCATATTCCTCACCGTCTTTGCTCACATCCGAAGCTGGAGCGCCGCTTCCTTTCGTGCTCAGGATTACTGGAGAGCTAATTGAAATGCCTGGTTGAGAACCAAGTTGCATCATCTTCATCACCTCACCTTTTACCTGCTCTGCAACATCTTCTTTCACCTGAGATATAATGACATCCAACTCCTCCCGTGACACCATTCCTGCACCAGCACTTGGACGATTTGATCGTCCAAAAAAAGCCTTAATGCTCACGCCCTTTCTGACTCCCCTCACACGGCCAGGATGCTCTGGCTTTCCTATTGCTTCCGCAAGAATATCATTTCTACCACAAGGTTTGAAATTACCCTGGGAAGATTGTTCTTCCAAAGAATCCTGCAATAAGCACACAAAATAATATTTAAAATGCATTATATGGAATAAAAGTAATGGATTGAATTTAGTACCAGTATTTACTTACAATCTTGTCACCAATAGTTTTAGCCTCCTCTGAGGTATAATTTCCATCTAATTTCAGACGAGCCCTTTTCCACATCTCATGGCGGGAGGGTGAAGATGGGGGGGGAACAATAATAGATTCATCTAACGAGGCCTCTCTCATGGCCTTGTATTTCTCCTCCATCATTTTTCTTTTCAAACGAAGTAAACCACCACGAGACAAAATATGAGGATACTTATTATGTGATTGTATTTCTTGTGCTTTTTTCCTTCTTGCCTGCGTATATATTAATCACATATAGTCATGAATGACAAAATTAATATTAAACAAAAATAAAACTTACTAAGAATTCAGGAGTTTGACGAGATGCAACTAATATATGATATGTAAAACTTACTAGAAAAATACATGTTTTACTCTATCTGATATATACATTTGGGGACTTCAAAAAGTCTGCACATTAATCTTACTAGTTTTTTCTGGTAAAGTGTGTGCTAGCCCTGTATGTATGCATATGTTTTATTCATTGTTTCCCTTTCATTGTTTTATTGCCTTGGTGATCGTGGCAGTACATGTGGACTTTTACAACTCAGCATATTTTTTGCCACTGCATAATTAATATGCTATATCATCACAACAAAGAAATACATCCATGTTTTTGGTAGAAAATATTTATTTCATGGAAATTTTCATATGTAGAGCAAACTTTTTACAACTTGGCAAATGACTAGAAACTGGTTGTGTTCAGTTGGACTTACAAATTCTTTCCTCGTCTTGTTCTCTTAGAAGCTAATTTTTAGCCTATTTATTTCGCTTGCTTAAAGTACTTATTCGTCTTTAATATTCTTTTTCCTGTAACAGTTTTAAACAACTATTTGTTTCCTACTATATTGGATAGAAAAATAAAAAAACAAACATATACGTGTTTGACAAGATTAATCACATGTAGTCATGAATGACAAAATTAATATTACACAAAAGTAAAACTTACTAAGAATTCAGGAGTTTGACGAGATGCAACAAAAGCTTCCCATGTATCTTTATCAAGATACGGGCAAGTCTTGATATATGGAAGCTGACCCTTTTTTTTTTCCGAATATGTAGCGATTGAGGCTGGTTTTGAAAATCCTCCAATATTCCCCAGCACGTCTTAACCAGTGACATTTTTGGCCGGCAAATCTGACGTGGCGTCCATGTGACCCTACACATTAAACAACGGCGATGATGTGGAATAACTTGTCCATAGACCTGTCGCCACGCGGATTAAAACAAAATAAAAAAAAAAAACACATTATATCCATGTGTCATTACACATGGATTTAAGAATTAAAAAAAAACCAAAAACCTGTAAAAATAAGGAAATATGGCCGTTGTAAAAACTTTTTCTATAAAATGACCGTTATAAATTGTCGAGAGCCATTCCTCCCATTCTTGCAAATCTGAGAAGAAAAAATGTCGTATACCACGAGCTCCATCAATTGCTACTGTGGGAAGAGAGCTGTGCTTCGCACATCATGGACCAACGACAATCCTGGAAGAAGATTTCATTCTTGTCTTCAATGGAAAGTAAAATTTTCATATTTAATTAGTGTTCTTGAGTCTCAAATTAGGATATTTGATTGAGGTCCGAAATTATGGTTCTTCAGTCCCAAATTAGGGTTCTTGAGTCATAAATTAGGGTTCTTGAGTGCTAAATTAGGGTTCTTGAGTGTCAAATTTGGGTTATTGAAATTAGGGTTCTTCATTCAAATTGTTATATTTTTTCTTTTCTTCTTCTCAGGAAGGTGGTTGCCAATTTTTTAATTGGGAGGATCCTCCAATTTGTCATCTCTCGAGGGCTATAATTTCAGGAATACTACGTAGGGTGAATGCCATGGAAGCTGAAAATGCAAAATTGAAGCAGAACATTGCAATGAAGAAGAATATCTACACTTATATGGCATTATCTTTTGTTATATTCTAGGTCCTTCTCTGCTGCTTCATTTGAAGAGATTTCATGTAATGGAATTGACACTTTGTCTTGTTCTTTATTTTGTTATGTCGTTTTGTTAAGTATGATGATGACAGTGTTTCTTAAGATTCAGAACTTGTGTTGATAATAGCAGTGTTGATGGAACAATAATGATGGCAATGTTGATGGAACAAAGTTTTCTCACTGTTTGTATTGATTTATGGGATCTTTGGACTTGTGTTTGTTTTTGTCTCTGTTTTTGTTCTATTGATTTAGAACTATGATTTGTCTCTATTTTGTTTTCAAAATGTTGCAATATAACACCACATTGAAACCAACACTAAAGACAAACAAACCAACACTAACAAATGAAAACAAATAACAGATTGGACATTTGAAACAAGATGAACTTAAAAAACAGACATAATGAACACAGTTTACCATATATACTACGCAAAAAATTTCACATTACTACACAATCAGATGAATGTACCAAAACATAGCTTCACAAGAGTACACAATCTCAGATTTTCCATAGCATCCAAAACATAGCTTCCAAAACAGAATTTCTAAGAGTTCATGCCCATCAGAAATTACAAAACAAGACAATGTACCATAAAGTACTACACAAAACAGAGGCACAATACACAAATCAATTCACCAACTGTTCAAACTTCTTAAATTTCAGACAAATGCTTAAACTTCTTCTGGAGAGAGTCATCAACTGGTGGTCCTCTTGTTCTTTCCCTTTGAAGTTGATCCCACATTAAGGGTCCTTCAATGTGTGTTGTTGTTGCTGATTTGGACTGAGACATTTGTATTAGAATGGGGACATCAATCTCTTCAGGTTCTTGATGTTCTTAAAAAACTGGGGGTAGCAATGTGGGATGATTTTTCTGTTTCTTTATGATGTTCACTGAGCTTGAGGCTCCACCATCATCCTGTATAAGGTTGAAAATATTAGGACAAAAATAATGAAAAATAAAGAGCAATATGAAATCAGAATAGTACCCTAGACATGTTTGAACCTCCCCTATAATCCTGAGGTGCTTGAACATTATGTGATCCCATCACAGCTTCTTCATTGGAGGCCCTCCTATAACATGTTTTGCTATTATGTCCCAAAACACCATAGTTCTTGCACTTAACTGTTTTTTGTTGCCTTTTAAGTCTCTGCGACCTTGGATCTTGTTTTTTCTTCTTACAAGGCCTCTCATCACATTGAAGTCTTCTTGACTTACCTGGTCTTCCCACACCTCTACCAAAATTTGGAGGCAATGGTGGAATATATAAGCTCTTATCCCACAACACCTCACCATTAGTTCCCATTATAGCTGGTTCATACACTTTGTGATATGTAGCAAAAGAATAGCAGGTAGCTACATGATCAAATGGGTCCATTTTGGACATATACATTGCACTACAAGCATGAGGGCAAGGTATTCCAGTCAATCCCCATTTTCTGCAAGTGCAAGTCCCCAAATCAAGATTCACATTAAATTGCCCCCTATTGAAGCAAGACATCTCCCAGTTTGCATGATCACACTTCAAAGGGATGCAGTCACCCACCTGTTCAACATGATGAGAAAGAATCTCTCTAATTTTTGGACACAACCCAGACTTCCAAAGTTTGGCTGCCTTATCCCTATTTTTTTGAAGTCTGCTGATAAGATATTGTCTAATCCACTCCAACATTGTCAACATTGGTTTGTCCCTAGCCTCCAATATGTTTCCATTAAATGTCTCACAAACATTATTCAACACCATTTCACATTTGGGGTCTTCAGTGAAATGTGACTTGCTCCACTCTGATGGTGGTTTGTCACTGAGCCAATCAGCTGCCTCTTTACGCAGCTCCCTCATCTCATCAAGATATTGGTTGAATTCACCAACAGTAGTGGCCAATGCACATTTCCAAAGAGCCTTCTTATAATCTAAACCTCTAAAACCAACATTCTGAAAGTTATTGTGGATGGTAACGCAAAACACTCCGACTGGCTTGAAATCGACTCGCCTTCCTCCTCCTCGCCGGTAGAACGCCGCGCACCTGCACAGAACTCTCACATCGGAGGGGTTTTCCGGTGAAGAGCCTCCGATACTTAAGTTAGTGTATATTTTTCTCAATCCTCCAAAGTATGCAATGGATAAATCGTAAGTCACAAGAAAAGACTCACTCCTATATATATAGGAGTGAGGTACCTGCCCTAGGAGCTGCCCCGATCTTGTGAGCTGTCCTGCCCGTACTGCCCGTCCGTACACACACAGTATGCGTGCGTCAGAGGTGGTTATCACCACTATTGCTTTGCACCAATGTACTCTCGCCACGTGTCCCTCTGAGCAGAGGGAGATTATTCTCTGCGCATCCCATTAGGATCTTCTAATGTAGCCCACGCGCTTTCTCGCGTTCAAGCCACGCTCTCGACTGCTCTTCACCTGTTGAATGCTCGATCTGACCGAGTCCCCCGTCACTAGGTCGATCCTCGACCAGTTCTGCTATTCTGCTCGATCTTTTCCCTTTTGGTAGATTATCCCTCTACCAATACAGTTTTCTGTACCTCGAGCTCGCTCGACCAATGTGGTAAACCGGTCTATTCTTTAGCTATATAATATCCCATATCATCTAGTCCCCCCCACTCTGGTCGAGTCTAAATGACTCGATCTAAGAGTGAATTCGAGCTGTCTTCTCCGTTCTGCCAACCTATCAATCTCCTGCTTACATCTGACCCCCTCTCTCGATCGTTTCGGTTGATGCCACCACCATTCTTCGACCACGCGATCGATTTTATGGTGCGGTTTCACATGTCCTTTATTTCCTCTTATTATTGGCGCAATTTTGCGCCGCTTCGTTATCTGTGCCCTTTTAATTCTTCCAGCCGTTAGATCTCGCTCTCATCTAACGACTATTTCCATTTTCTCTTCGCTTTATGCCCTTGTATAAATACCGGACTTAGCAAATTTTTCCACTTTTCTCACCTCTGCAGTTTTTAGCGTACTTGTACCCTAATTTCTCTCTGCAAACTGCGCTTTCTCGCTCTCGGCGCTTTCATTGAAAATTTTCCGGCAACCGTCTTCTACTGCGACCATGAGTAAGTCTTTTGTGCTTTAATTTTGTGTTCGCGTGTGTTTATTTTGTCGATTTCTGGTTTTTCCCTGTTGCTTCTTCCTTCCCCTGAAACCTTCTCGTTTTGTCTGTGGAAAAAACCTTCTTCTTCACCTTCCGAAACCCTAACTTTTTTTCCTTTCCTCTCAATTTTCCTTTCTACTTTTCAGATTCCGTCGATTCTAACGCACAAAGTCATCACTCCGGTGAAGATGAGACCGCCGCGTCATCATTCCCCACTCATCGGCCTATCCCTCACTCGCCTTCCCGCTCTGTCGAAGAAATCTACAATCCCACTCCTATCAGTGTTTTACGCCCTTCCGATTGTGCCACCTCTTTGCCTCCCCCTTGTCGTCTGATCGATGAATCAGACGATGGTATTGCTGACCCCATTCCTCTCCCTCGTCGGCGTCGATCGACCTTCGGGGCGTCTGATGCGATTGAGGAGGCCCTCGATGCTGCTGAGGTCGCACTCGAACAAGATGAGGATCACGTTCCTCTTTCTCGCCGCTTTGTCTTCTCCAAAGCCACTTCTTCGCGCAATCACAAGAAAATCGATCCTTCTCAGTCTCAAATCAAGTCCTCGGCTACCATCGCTTCGAAAGCTAAATCTGGCTCTACCACTGTCCTTACTCCTAAGCCTGCCCATAAGAAAAAGTTGGCTAAAGTCTCTTCTCCCCGGCACACCTCTTCTTCTTCGCTCGTTGTCGGATGGTTAAACACTAATGATGTTGGTCATCCTGTTGGTTGGGCTTTTAGATCTCCCCGCTCCAAGGATACTTATGACCATCCGCCCAAAAATAACTACACCTTCTTCGAGATTCAATTCAAACTCGGGGTCCGTTTTCCCTTATGCCAGGATTTGCTCGATATATGCGACTGGTTCGACCTCCCGCTGAACCAGCTTCCTCCCAATGCTATCCGATTCATCACCATCTTCATTATCCTCTACCACATCCATTTGGGTCGACTCGACCTAGCCTTTTTTTATTACTGCTATACGCCATCCAAACACTCTCATGGCCTTTACCTCAAGAGCCGCAATGATGTCCACTTCATCCCCGACACCCCTTCTAATGTCCCAAGATGGAAAGACAAATTTGCTTTTGTCGAGCCCATTCCTCCTTTTCCGTGGGCACCAAATCCTTAGCTCACGGAGCTCCCACGCGAGCATGCCTCTCCCCCTCAAAGTTGAGCTTTTCGACCAACGGATAGCCGTGTGGAACACCAAGCCCGTTGCGTCGAAACTTCTGCTCGAAGATGAAGACCTTCTACATTTCTGTGGTCTGCTCACCCACAAATCTTGCTCTCGCCCTTCTCAAAAAACTCTCGACCTTATCCAAATCAAAGATGACCCAGGTATTTGCTGCTGAGTGAGCTTTTCGACCAACGGATAGCATGTTTGTTTTTTCTGTTGTTTATCTATTATGGTTCTAATTTATTCATGATCCCTTGCAGAGATGTCTGCTATCTCTGTGCCTAGGAGGAAAGCTCCTTTGAAAAGGAAGCAAGCCGTCTAGGGGTCGAGCTCGAAGCTCGCTGACTCAACCACCTCTCAATCCGCCTGTTCGACTTCACCGCCGCCAGAATTGATCGTCGAGCAACCATCCTCGATCCACCTTCCAGCGGACCAGCAATCCGAGCAACCAGAACAGCTCGAGCAAACGGAATCACCTCGACTGCACTCTCCTCCGCGCGACCAGACCACTCCGTTCATTCACATTCCTGCTTCTCCCAAGAAGACTTTGCTCGAGGAGAATCAACTTAAGCGTCCCCCTGTTGAGGGGGATGAGAATGCTAGCAAGCGCCGTCGTCTCGATGAGACCGCGCTCTCGATCACTACACGAGATGGCGTAGGGTTCGCGCATTTCCTCAGGGATGTCCTCCATCCCGTCGACCATCCTACCGACCGTTATAATGACGGTTATACCCTTCGAGATCTGGGCAATCGGGTTGCCCGATGGCTGGCTCATGTAACCTACTATAGCTTGATGTTTATCTGTTTTACTCCACTTTCTGTCATCGTAAGTGCCCTAACATTTTCTTTTATGTGCTCTTATAGGGAATGGTCGAGCTCGCGTCGCTGATCAAGCAGACATTGGCTAGCTCGAGCTGTTCCATCCCAGCGATCGAGCGAGGCAATCTTCAGCTTGACAATCGGTTGGATGAGATGGTTGTCAAGAGTAATGCGCTTAATCAAAGGCTGAAGGAGTCGGCCGCCTAGAATAAGGTCCTCTCCGCCGAGAAAGAAACGCTCGAGGGGGCCCTGAAATCCTTCGAGGAGGCACTCGCAGCTGAGCAAGCAGAGAAAGAGGCCCTCCTGGCTTCCCAAAAAGCTCTCGAGGCTGCACTTGAGGAGGAGAAGTCAGCTTGGGCACGTGAAAACGTTGTTTTCGAGCAGCGGGCCAAGCTCCTAATCGACAAGGCTGTCCTTCGGGCTCGGAGGGTGATCTTCCATATGACTGCGGGTCAGCGTTTCCTGCAAGTATATCGCAAACAAGTGGTGGCTGCTTTCCAGCAGTAGCCACAATATCTGAAGGGCGTGCAGGATTACGACACCCAGTGCTTCGAGGCCATCATGCAGCAGGCGGGGGTCCAGATTGCCGAGGACAATTTTGTAAAGTTCAATATGAAGGCTATCTAGGACACTATGCCCAAAGTCCCTACCGGCTACCAAAGTACTCTTGATTCGCCTACTGACCACGACTGGTGGTCGGGTCTGCTCGAGCTTGTCGTGGATAGTGACGATCTGCTGAAGCGCCATTTCAAATTACCCGACGGTTATACTCCTCCCATTGTTCGCTAAAACCCCCTATCCAATGTGACAGGGTCGTTGTCCAGTTCGAGTCAGCCGGTTGAGCCAGTGCAACAGCAGGTCGAGCCACCTTCGGGGCACACGACTAACGACAGCGATGCCAATGTTGAGCGAACTGCCGAAGATCTTGCTAATGCCGCCTCTTGAATATGTTGTCTCTTTAATTTTTGCTAAACTCTGTACTCCTTTTTCCGTTAAATGAATGTCATTTTCGTTGAAATGTGTGAAGTTTTCTCGTTATTTTTCGATAATACGTCTGCTAATACTTTACTTTGCCTATTGCTTTTGTTGTTGACAAGCCTGCGCTGTCGCTATTTGTTGATGTCGTTTTCGCCGATTACTT